TTATCTCTCCCAAAAAAATTTTTTTAAAATAAGATAAAAAATAAGATCTGTTAGGAACAAAGTTAATTTAAATTAGGAAAAAATCCAAAACTTTAATACAATTCCCTACTGCCCACAGATTAATGTCCAAATTCAGAAAGGTGGCTTTCAACGCCTTCTAAGATCTAGCTTCATTTTTCAGTCAAGTCATCTTCCCTTCATCAACTTCATTCTCTCTGTACTCCAAAGGGACCATTCTTGCACCCATTGTCTCACAAGTTTTGATTTTATATCTTTACCTGTGTTCTTCTTTCTAATTGAATGCCTTTCCCCCATATTCTCCTCCTCGCCTTTTGAAATTGGTACATATTCTTCAAGACCCAGATCAGATGCCCCTCTGCAGTGACCTCAGTTGTTTCTGGATTCCTCCATGTGTCGAATGCACCTGTGTACACCATTTGCCATAAACTACCTTGTGTAAAGGCCTTTGGGCATATGGCTGATGGAGTTTATTATACCAGTCACTAATCTAAGAAAAGGCTACATATTATTTGTCTTGGGTAAATTCCCTATAATGCTTAGCACAGCACCTGGCATAATGCAGTCTTTCACTAAATGTTTGCTAAATTTAATTAACAGTAAACATTCAATGCATCAATAATACTCTTGAGTGAGAGACAGACCATGTATAGAATTGATTATTGCCTTTAGAGCTATTTATAATTCACCCACCCCTGCACTCACCCTCAATATTGCTGTTGGTACATGCCCTGAGCCATTTATGTGGCGGGGAACTGGCAACGTAATGTTGGATTTGGCTTACCTTTTTTCAGCTGTTGGAAATCTTGAACACAATCTACCATCACATGCCAGTCCTCAGACAGAAGGAGGAAAGTTTTCAGTTTATACTCGAAGCCATATCACAGATAACCAGCTTCCACACAGATGCAGTTGTTGCCAACATTTTGCAGAAGCCTCTGCCCTTTGACAGGTAGGTTCTAATTAAACTGGTCTCTTCTCACAGGAAAGGCCACTTCTGCAAGGCATTGAGGGAGGGTTTGTTGTTTCAGAAAAAGGCAGAAAATAAGGGTTGGAAACATCCTACCTTAATAATAATTTTTAAATTGATATTTGAATCACACACAATGATTCCCCAAGTGGTTTTCAGATCTACCCTCCATGGATAATACAATAAAACCTCAGAAAGCCAGAACCTGTGTAAGGCAGAAACCTGTCAGAGAAGGAAATCTCAAATATTTTGCACTAAAATGAGCGATAGAAAAGGGGTAAGACTGCACCCTGTCACAGGCAGAAGACTTGTGAGACCCAAAGAAACAAGGCGGTCTAACTGAGCTACAGCTCTCAATAAGATTCCTGTAGGAAAAAATACACCACAGGAATAAATGAGTATTGGGAAGTGACTGTTTACCTTCTTCTGGTTGCCCAGAATGAGCAGCTTCTGTCTTAGAAAACCTCAGTAACCCAAGACCAGGATACTGGGTTGTTAAATAAATCATCCTTATTATCCTCAAGCTTGCCAGTGTGTTCATCTGCCCTTTAAATCTGGATTAATCATATTGTGGTTTCAGAGTGAGTCAAATGGTAAAGCTCAATTTCCAAAGGCTTATGTTTCATCAACTTCCTGTCTTGCCACCCTAGGGACACAAAGGTACTGTGGAAGGCTCTGGCTGAGAACCCAGCCTCCAGTGGTAAACTCTTGCGAGCCTTAGTACACAAACTGGAGATTGGATTAGAAGATGACATGGTCACAATGGATGCAATTTCAGTGAGTTCAACAGCCCATCACATTCCTGGAATGGTACCCTATTCTATGATCTGTTCCTACCTGGGACTAGGTGAAGTAACATTAATCACACTCCATCCCCTCTCTTACCCTGATTTTAATCCAACTCCAGTTTGTATTAGACTAAAGGGTCGTTATGAGCCAGGTCTGACTCGACGGCACGTAACAACAACATGGTAATATGGCAGTGATTTTGTCTGTGGCTGGTCATTTTTAGAAGTAAAATTCTCAGCAGACCAAAGAAAATCTCTATATGTATATGTATTTCTAAATTAGTCTGCAAGATATCCAAAGCTCCCATTTTTTGTTGTGTCAACATTGGAAAGCATTGCAATTTATTTGACTGATGTCCTCTGGGGTTTGGAGTTGCCCAACATGGCAGTTCTGAGAAAGCAATACAGTCTGAGTTGAGAAATTTCCACAAAAATAACAACTCCCCTTGTTTATGTTTTTACCTTGAGCATGATCAACGTGGAGAGCAATTGTGTGGGGAAAAAAATAAACTTGGAGATCACACCAAGGGGAAGATGTCTTTAGAAGACAGGAGCCTGCTTAACCAGGTGGTCTTCTCTCCTCTCAGGTGGCCTGTGCCATGCATGAAGTGGTATCAACAGGCACCCCTGTCTCAAGCCTGTACCCAGAGCTATTCACCCTCCTCCTGAAGCTGATCAGCTGCTCACTGGGCCAAAATATGCCCACTGCTGCTGTAAGCTGGAGACGGAAGGTCATGAAGCAGGGAGAACTCCAGCAAGTCGCAGACCCCTGCAGGTAGATGGCCACACCAAGGGAGTCTTTCCAAATGCCCCGATCCTGGACTCCAGAAGGGGGGCTGTGGGTGTCAGGGCCTCTTCCCTCTGCTACAGCATAAAAAAATGTTATTAATTGCCACATAGTCTGCTATGACTCACAGCAACCCCATGTGTGCAGAGTAGAACAGGTGCAGAGGATTTTCAAGGCTGTGACCTGTCAGAAGCAGATCATCAGGCCTATCTTTCAAGGCATCTCTGGGTGGGTTCAAACCACTAACTTTTTGTCTAGTTGTCAAGTGCTTACCAGTTTACACCACCATGGACTCCAATGTGGCATCAGCTATTCATGAAGAAGTGAAACTAGTACTACTTCCCTTAAGACTTTGATACCAGCCCTTATAGTTTGTTTTTCCACTGAGCCAATACCCAGTAGAGTAACCCAGGACATTCAGTAATAGAAAGAATAAAATGATTCTGTTTTCTTCCCTAGAGAACTCACTGTATTTCCCTAAGTTTCTTTCATTGAGACCTTTCTATGAAAGTTGGATTTCTGTGATATTCAAGGGCACCAGAGAAAGAAGAAAAATAAAAATAAGTACCATAAGATTTTGCAAAAATGGCATGGGGCACATTCTCTTCTGACCTCCTCTAACTTCACAAGAGGGAGACAGCATCACCATCAACAGCCTAAGGCTTATTCTTATGAGGCCAGACATGCCACCACCCTCCAGCCTTTTTACCAACTCTGACACCAACCGTCCTTCCCATGGCACTCACGACTTCTCTGCTAGGACTGGTAATTCATTGCAATGACCACACAGAACTCACAGACAATAAAACTACGGGATTTATTAGGGAAGTAACAGGCTACAACTCAGGTTCAGGAACACTCTCAGCATATAGTTCTTCAGTCAGGACAGTCTCCTCTCTGCTATGTCCACAGGCATGTCTCTCTGGCCCTTGGCCTCCTGGCCTGACCTCTGCCCCACTTGGGCAAGTGTTAAAAAGCTCTTTTAGCTCTGTTGATAGGTATACCTACACTCACCCTACTCCACCAGTGAGCCTCCTGCTGAAAGGCACTCAGCTTTCTCACTCTGCAGGCTGGCAAGCCCACCGCTCTGTCTCATGCCTGTTGGTTCCTCTGCAGTAGTCTCAGCCAGCCATCTCTGCAGGTTGTCTCTGTCAAGGAGGTCCAGTGCAAGGATCTTGGATTCAAGGACAAACTCCACTTCACCTCCAGTTCTTCTCGCTCTCTCTCTCTTACTCTCTGTCTCTGTCTCTCTTTAATTTTTATTGTGATTTGGATAAAAGTTTACAGAGCAAATTTGTTTTCTTTTTTTTTACTTATTTTTATTGTGATCTGTGTGAAAGTTTACAGAACAAATTCATGCACATTTCGTTTCATGACATTGACTACAATTCCCCACAATGTAACAGCTCTCTTCCCAATTCCTCCCTGTATTTACCTCTTCCCTGTGTCCTTCCCTCCCATGCACTCCTGCCCCTCAAGCTATTTCCCTGTGCAAACACTGCCCTTCTGTTCTCCCATGACTGATCGCTCCAAGAAGGTATCCACCTGATGTAATTGTTGATTCACCTCATAT